CGTTATATTTTTGGCCAAACATGAAAAACGACATACAAAAATTTATACGCAGGTGTAGTACTTGCCAATTAAAAAAATTAGTTCGTGTCAAAACGCGACAGCCACTTGTCATAACTGATACCCCTCATTCCAGTATCGAAAAAGTATGTATGGACATCGTAGGCCCTTTTAAAACGACGCGGAGAGGTAATAATAACATTTTAACAATACAATGCAATTTTACTAAATATTGTTTAGCTATCGCATTACCGGATGCAACAGCAGAGACGGTTGCAGACGCGTTTCTAAAACATTTCATCTGTATATTCGGAAATCCGGGCATAATATTAACAGATCGTGGCCAAAACTTTATGAGTCGAGTTCTTTGCAATATGGCGAAAGCCCTTAAGATAAATAAGGTCTGTACAACCAGCTATAGACCACAAAGTAATGGAGGGCTCGAACGTTCCCATCACTCCCTTACGGAGTACCTAAAGGTCATAATTGACAAAAACAACGAATGGGACCAATACCTAGAAATGGCAATGCTGAGCTATAATACATCGGTACACGAGGCACACAACTTTCAGCCATACCAATTAATGTTTGGTAAGCTACCAAACCTATCCTCTGAGAAATCAATAGAACTATCAGGTCAAATGAATACTTACGACGATTACGTCAAAAACTTATGCGCTGATTTATCAAAAATTCAAAAAATTGCACGTGAAAAACTGATAGAATCAAAATTAAAATCAAAATATTATTATGATAAAAAAGTAAACGAAGAAGATTTTAAAGTAGGCGAAAGCGTGTGGCTATTAAAGGGAGGTAAACAGCATAAGCTTGAAGATCAATACGCTGGACCATATGAGGTTGTTGAGACATATGATAATAAACCGGAATTAACCATTAAAATTAAGGGTAAATGTAAAAAAGTACATGCGAATAGACTTAAAAGATCATATATAGAAGCGAAGTAAACAAATATAAACAACCTTGTAAATTACTATAAATAACACGCTCGAAGATTTCAGGGAAAATGTCAATATTTTTGATATTTATGTTATCATTGCTGCAATCAACACAAACAGCAGAAATAATAATCAAAGAAGTAGCAAATCCAGGTATAATCTTTCACAGAATAGGAGAAGTAAAATCTAACGAAGCCATAGCAATAATATCAGTTATATACCTTCCACATCGAGAACATCAAAGATATGATAACGACACAAGGTGGTTAGACATTGTCGCATTACAACCCGTGGTAGCAAGGGGTGTACATGCCGACATACTAAGAAAATGGACGGAAAACCAGAATTTGATACTATCACATAACAATGAAGGTTCACTGCCATATGATGAACTTTTTGAATATTTAAACGCGGAAGAAAAATTACAATATGACGCTACTGACTTAAATATTTCAAATTACACAATATTTATTCAAAATTTAATAGATAACTAGTGGACGGAGAGAGAGTTAAAGTTAAATTCACTCCTTGAAACTTACACTAAAATAAAAAAGGAAACATCAGTAGTATCATCCCTTAAAAACGTCCTTGATGAGATAATGATAAATGAGAACGACAAAAACAACGGAGTTTGTAAATTCAATAATCTAATTTCAGAATTGAGAAAAAATATAATTTTAAAAAACATATTATCTCCAAGTATATATGCATCTATAAAAAGACGCCTTGAACTAGAAAGTAATATTAAAAATGCTCCAATCTTGAGAAGCCAAAAAGAGATAAACAAAATCGCTCAATTGAGATACAAGTTATGGAATAATCGGTTGATAATCGAAATTAAAATCGCATTAAAGACAAAAATAATAGCATACGCATGGAAAATTACCACTTATCCAGTCAACCAGAGATGGCGAAACGAGATGACGGCATCTATACAAATTTGCGGAGACATATTACTAGAACTTAATAGAAATTATCAATGTAAAAATGCATCGGAATTAAGCGAGTACACCAATAATAAGGGAATAATTTCCTGTCCAAGCAGTTCAGTAAATCTAAAACCAATTAAGTCATGTGAAACAAAATTGTTCGAAAATTCAATTTCTAACCCTTTTACACATTGCAAAATTGAATTATATAATAGTACGAAAGATAGTTTATTTGAATTCACAGCAAACAACAATTTTGAAAAGATGCTATTTTTCCACATAAACTCAACATTATCGGTGAAATGCGACTATCAAGATAGCAAAAATATCAGCATACATACGGGTATTGCACATGTGTCACCAAAATGCAACATAAGTGCAGATCAAGAAATATTAAAAATTCACACAGTCGACCCTCCATTAATTCCAAATGCCAGCCTGGACATTAAAAAACTTGCGCAAAATCTGAGTGCTAGTAAATGTATGGAAGAAATTTCAGCATTAGAGGGAGATTTAGTTGAACCAATAAAATATTTGTGCAACCAAGACGACACGTTGCAGACAACGATAATGATAGCATCAAGCAGCCTCATGGCAATAGCAATATTGAGTTTCATACTGATAATAAAAATAATAAGAACATGTAAAAATCGCTGCAAAGATAAGCGGGGTACTTATAATAAGATAATAATCAGTAGACCCCTCAATGTAACAACAAATTGGTCAAAAGACTTAGACACCAACGGTATCTATGACTTAGTGCCGAAACACTACTAATAACTTCAAATTGTTTAAAGCAAATGTGGGGTACCATCACCGAAACACTACTAATAACTTCAAATTGTTTAAGGAAAATGTGGGGTACCATCATCATATGCATGCTGCTAGCTGCAGTCACCATTGGCCAAGTCGAATACGGATATGATTGCGGCGCCGAACTAACCAACGTAACTACAATTTCCCTTATTGACGTAGGGAAATGTGAAAAAAGTCGTCCTGAAATAAAAAACAGCACGATTAGAGCCCAACTGGTACAAATGAATGACTATGGTATAGCTACCGTAAAGGAATGCCGTATATTGATAAAAAGATCGGTGTTTTACTGCGGCATGCACTCTCACATATCAACGGTGGCTAACGGCGAAGTACAATACTACAAAGAAGTCACTCGCGATGAATGCGAGAGACTGCACGCCACAGGCTCATATGTATATCAGGACCTGGTAATCAACGACATCCCCAGGAATGGTACAATCACCACCCCTCACACATTCGCCGGAACAACTGGCGAATTCGGCAAGTGCACTGGAGAATCCAGGTACGTCGACGCATACGGAAAATTTCACGATGTGGTAGTGACAGGATGGATTACGATCGACATGAAAAGCTATACAGCCAAAGTAGACATGGAAGCGGACAAACTGCAGCTAGCAACAGGCGCATCATGCACTGCCTCAAGAAGGCACTGCGTCAGCCCTGACGGAAGTGAGGCCTTTTGGTCGACTGTCGAGATGGGTGAGTGCGGTATAAATAAATATTCAATCATCTACGACGGCTACATTACCAAGATAGAAGATTTAGAAGATGAAAATGTCGTCTACACGCTATCAACGGAGGACCGTAACTTCGCGCTAGTAAGAAAATTTGAAGAGAATGTGTGCGGCATCGTGATCCAGCACACAGAGCATACAAGGCTGATGATAATAGAAAGCGGTGGTAGGCACGCTCCAATGAGACAAACTGAAATAATAGCTCACAACATAGACTTGTTCGCGTACACAAATGCAAAATTCTTGTACGTAGAAAAACATTTCAAGGGACAACTAAAGGAAATGTACTATAATATCATGGATTCAAAGTGTGAGCTAGAAAGGAAAGTGATTGAAAACACCCTGTCAATCGCCACCACCCAGCCTGCCGAGGTAGCCAGGAAAATCATGAAAAGCCCTGGTTGGACTGGAATTGTTAGCGGAGAGATTATTTATCTGATAAAATGTCTTCGCGTGATGACAGATCTAAGGAAAACTAATATATGTTATGAACAATTACCAGTAACTTTCCAGAATCAATCAATGTTTCTAGCACCTCGAACTAGAATATTAGTAACAAACGGCAAAGAGAGGCAATGCGATGGCAGACTACCTCCAATGTTCAAGCTTGGTGAACAATGGTATCGCTCAATCCCAGATATCATAACTGCACCCGCGCCTGAAATATTGGCGCCGAAAATGACTCCCGCGTGGAAGTACATCAGCCCTGAATCACTAGCGATCGGCGGCATATATAGCGAGAAGGACACAAAAAAGTTGCGTGACCTAATCGTATTTCCACTGGAGAGGGGGGCCATTATGAATACGATCCTACGAGGAGCAGTAGGACAGCAAGTCAACACCGAAGGGATCTCAATCAGCCCCTTCATAACTGAAAAAATTCTCAATACAATAGCAACAAATACCTGGAACCGAGTTTACGCAGGATTTGTTTCTTTTGGCACACTTAGTGCAGGCATATTAGGAGTCTTCATGCTTTTCCGAGCAATAAAGCTAATAGTGGATACTACAATTCATTCGTACGCCCTATACACAATATACGGCTGGTCTATCCACTTACTCGGTGCCTTATGGGATTCGGTAACATATCTACTTCTGCACATCGGGCAGCGAAGGCAGCACGAAGATCATCAAAATAACATCGACAGGATTGACAGAGAAAGGATTATAGAGCAAGAAGATCGAAGAATCAACATCGACGCAGAAAACGCACCGATGCTACAACAACAGGAGAGAGGCCCGCCACTACAACAAGAGAGAGTCCCACCGCCACAACAAGAGAGAGTCCCACCACCACTTCCAGCGAGACTATACCCAAGAATTGACCCATCCGAATGATGACGGCACTCCCAGAGGTCGTTCTTTTTTTGGAGGGTGGGAGGGGATCATTATAGATATTAAGTATAGAGGATAAGTATAAAAGCTTAAGCATACAAAATGTAACCTATGACGAAGACTTGCATAGCTCATGCGGTAAGGCGCTTGCTGGGAGAGCAAAGTATCTCCAGTTCGATCCCAAGTCGAGTCAAATAATTTTTCTTTTCTATTTATTATTTTTTCTTGTATAATTATTGTACTACATTGAGTTGACAACAACCATTTAATTGTCTAATTGTTACTATTTAATTATTATAACTACAAAAGAAAAGGAGAAAAATAACAACCACTCAAAAACATTTAAATTAATTATTATTTTTTATTAGAGATAATTTTGAAAAGCCGTCAAGGCTATACATTATGTACCGACAGATTTCTCCAAGGTGTCTTCAATGACAGCGCGAGTCTGCGCGTGCGCTGAGGGTGAGATCAAAAGATCGATGAACGCACATAGCACTCGCCCGAGATCATCGACAGGCCGATATATGGGTGGAGGCGGATTACAGCGAGGCAACCCGCAAGACGCACACTCAGTATCACGGTCCCAATCTTCATTATGGCAATCGGGTCCAAGTACAACGACCTCAGGGAACTCCAGCTCCTGGAATTTCACCAGATCAGCCAGTGCAGATTGCACCAAGGCCCTGTGCTCGGAATATACATCATCGAACCGCTCTAGCTGACGCAAAAGGCACTTTAATATCACGCGGTGTAAATCTGTCATGGTCTAAGAAAAAACAAAAAAAAAAAAATATTTATATACTCATACAATAATTACTTATATTATAATAATAAGAACTTATTATTTATTAACTGCAATACTTACGCTCAAGAAATCCATTGAACCATCTGCCATAGTGAAGCTGTCTGGAGGTCGTCTAAGACTTGAATGTACACGAACAGCTCTTTGCGCTGCTTATATAGCAAATCGACGGGACAAGTTCAATACATTGCCGAATAATAACTCAAAAAAAGAAGCGAAGAAAAGGACTCGCAGGTCATAACTCCAAACAGTACATTTTACGCGAAATAGACAAACGCTAGACTCACAGCAATACGCGAACTTTCCCTCGCACAAATCGACCGAGATTTTTGCATACAAACTATCGGCAATTAAAATTGTAAAACGGCATATTAATAATTTTAAGAAAGGTTGTAAAATAAAAGAAAAAAATAATGTTAGATTTAAGGAATGGTCGATCGGAGATATGCATGGAAATAACGGAGTATTTCAAATTCTTGTTCGCTGGGAGTTGTTACAGTCTACGACGTAACCTTTCTCAATGAAAAAGAAATTATTAAAACTGCGAGAAGCAGCTAGCGAGCTGCTACGCATGAATTACAATTTAATGTATCTCGCGTATCTCCTATGTATAATTTCATTAGCACACACACGACAGAAAGTAACATCATTTCGGACACGCGCAGCCAGCGTAAACAATGCCGAATTGAGCGACCTAAAATCCATTACCTATTTATTAGGCCGCTGCTATTAAACTTTTGCGAAAATATAATTCGCACGGCAAAGAAATGAACACGCGCGGCCGCGAGTGTGAATGAATATCTGAGAAAAGCAGTAAAACTGCGGTGACCGCGACTTCACGAATTTCGGGAAGAACGCGGGTCCGGGTCTGCTAATATACACGCGCGTGCAAGATATGTGTCAATTACTGACCCATATCGAGCTCGCTACATACGCTGCAACCGCTGAAGCGGGGGCAACTTTAGGTGTATATAAGCCACAGTAAAAGAGGATCAGTCCTCCTTCATATCTACAAAATCATACACTACGTATCGATTCTAGTGTCAACGCGACTTAATCAAAGTTTATAAAATATATTTAATATTGTACATGCATTGTATGCATATCATTCGAGTAGCTTCATAAGTGTAACTTTGTAAATCATTTGTATTGTTTTTGTGTGTGCCATCATCGACAATTCCGAATAAATACATGTAAGTTTATTATCATATTTCCGACTTTATACTTCATTCCACGCTACCCCTACGCAACAAGCGACTACAACTATTTAAAAGGTTTCTTGTTATAATTCCGACTACGGAGTACGTAACAACTGCAGTAACACTGTAAATTACCTGCAAAGAGAGCCCAAGTGGAACTGGTGAAATTTAGGGCATGCACAACTGAATTTATGTAGGCCAGAAAAAGGACAGGCCCCGGCGACGATCCTTGTGGTATGCCCGATGTGTTCGGCATAAATTCCGTCGTCGTCCCGTCAAGGTCAAGCACGGCTTGTGATCTGCCTGTTAGGTATGAGTGAATGAAACGCAGCGAGTCGCCTGAACAATTCATTTCTCGCAGCCAAGCCAAAAGTATCCTATGCGAGAGGCTGTCAAAAGCCTTGGTGAAATCGAATAAAATCAGCACAGTCACCTTTTTCTTCTCCCCTGGGAAGTGGACATCTTCGAGGAGATTCAGCAGGGCTGTCTGGGTGCTGTGTCGGGCGCGAAAACCAGACTGCAGTAGAGACAATAGTTCATTCGACTCTAAGTAATTCATCATCTTTCCCGTGAGCAGCGTATCAAGGAATTTGGCAAGGTGGCACAGATTTGCCACTGGTCGCGTATCGGATGGATTTTCAGGATTCGGTTTCTTGCTTAACGGTATAATAAGAGAGCGCAGATAAGCCGATGGATAGTGAAAAGTGTCTTTAACAGTATTGCAGATCCGAGTGAAAAATAGCATTATTATATGCAATGAGTCCCTCAGATACCTCATAGAAATACTGTCGCAGCTTTGGCCCTTTGACTTTAAAAGACATGCGTACATAGTAACAAGGACCTCTCTACCGTCCACATGTCTGAATGCAAAAGGTTGTGCAACGTGCAGTGTTGGGGTCTCAATTGCGGCTGCCAATTCTTCACCCGAGCACGGTGGATGTCTGTAGGTGATAGCCGAATAATGCTCCATTAGCTCTTGAGTCTTGAAGGTATTTAAAGGAGATCCATCTCTATTTTTTGCTGTGAGTAGACCCATCTCTCCACTGTGCTGACTGATACCAGCCCCATCCAGATGCCAGAAGAAATAATCTTCTCTAATATCTATTTTCAGTTGCTTACGCAGTAGTCTGAACTCAGGCAACAGAATCGGGCAGCGAGAGCGCCTTGCTTCCTTGTATAAACGATCGCGCTCTCGTCTCTTGGTTTGCAACTCATGTGTGATCCATGGTTCCCTGTGTCTCCTCTTGATCTGCGGGGCAACAGGCGCTTGCTCGTTCAGGACAGCTAAAATTTCGCCGTTGAAGGCATCAAGCAACGACTCAACGACGTCGGCATCATTAGATATACGGGTCTATGCCCAGTTCAGTCGCTGCATTAAGGCGTCATTAAAATCGCCGATCACCAAGCAGTGGAAGTCACGACACGGTGTCATACGACTCTCCAGTGGCATCGGAAAACTGTAGTCCATGATGAGAAGATGTGTCCATTTATAAAGGGCGCTTACTGAAAGTATGACACAATCCTGTCCTCGGAGTCGACCAAGATCGCATCGATTTGTGTATCGCTATAGTAGCTGCATGATGCGTGGCATCGTGGGAACGCATGCGAGAGAACATTCCCTTATCATTTTCATCAAGTGGTGCCCATCAAAACTACGGCCTCTCCACAAGTTACAGTTGAACTGTCACGATAACACTGTGGTACAAAGGGAGTATAACCTATAGCTCGATCCTTGGAAAAACTTGGTCAACTGGTGGCCTTCCAATCACATGTAAACCGATTCAAATAACAACCTGCCACCGGAGGCGGTCTTGAGTTAAAGTAGGAGCGACTCAGTTGCGTCTCCTCAATCTGTGGTGTATATGGGCTATTCCACAACAGGTGTTGCAGGCCCAAAAAATGAAGTTGAAAATAACCATTTACTTTTCAAGAACACAATGAAAAATGAAAATCCTGAAGAGCACAGCCCTCTAGGACCAACCCTCATGTATCTACATGGACTCAAAGTTGGATTTTTATGTTTTGAGGATATTCTGCTTGTTACTCTGCTTTTTTGGGGTGAATATGAAAAAATTTTTAAACCATGTTTTTTCATGTAAAATTTGATGTAGAATTCAAATCTGTACTCAAATGAGACATTCATAAGCTCAAAACCCCTTAAAATTGAAAAAATAGAGCAAAAGACCATCAAAGTCTAAAAATAAATGTGTTCGTATACCTCAAATCAGCCCATATTGTAATATGTTCATCGATACACCAAAATACAACTTCTGATAAAGTTTGGTAACTGAGTCTCCATTACAGATCATTTTGAAGCTTTTGAAAGCCCAAAAAACATGGATTTTCCTCATTTTCCATGTTGAAAGTTACAGAGGATTTCGATGAGATTTATCTGTGGATTATGAAGAAATTTAGTAATGGTGTAAGAGAGAAATTTTTTGTTTTTCATGAGATTGGAACTCAAACTAGAACGGGGGACAGAGTGCTTGGAGTAAGACCAAAATAAATGGTTGAGATCCTCATAATCTTCATTGCATACGCACCAAGGAGATAAAGCGAGATTTTATCTGTGAAGACTGTAAGCGAGATTATAGTGATTATTACGCATTCGACAATACGAAGTTATTTGTTTTCTTGTTAGAGTAGATAAAATGTTTTTGGTGAATTATTGAAAAAATTATTAAAGTAGTATAAACCTTTTTCGGTGTGAGTTTTGGGAAAAAAGTCGTTCAAATGAGTGTTTAATAGCTGTTTGAGAGTAGATGAGAAATCTGAGTGAGGTAGTAGATGAGGAGGTACAATACCAGATCTTATAGTTTGTTTAGCGAGATTATTAACTTTCTCATTACCCGCGGATTATCACAATGGCTGGGAACCCAAGTGAGGGTAACTTGTTTAATATTGTTGTATAGTTCATGCAAAGAGTTTTAATACGAAAGATATATACACTTGGCAACAAAATTATCGTAACGAAAAATTTCATCGAAATTTTGTCGATTTTCAAATGCATCCATCTTGGGCTATATTTATCGTATCGACGCGGTCTTATTTTTGATTTCTTGAAAATTTTGTCTTCTTTAAATCCATTTATACTATGATAAGATTCGAGTCAATGTCGAGTTGCCAGTAGTATTTGAGCGTATAACACTAAAAATTACTGAAAAAATTGATTGTTTAAACGTGTTCATGGACTACAGTAATTTTTTTAATTGAAATCTAACATACACCATCTCAAAGTACTCTTATCAACGAGTAATTTTAAAAAATTAGAGCTTTTTACGATTTTTTTAAAGCCCTGTAGGTCGTTTTGAAGACGTTCAGGAATATGAGATTGTTGTAATGGCGTAAGACAAGAAACAAGAGATGAAGCATATGATGACTTACGATGACATGAGGAATTTGGGGAGTGGGATGTTTAAGGGCATGGGATATTGAGATTGTTGAGGAGATATTTTTGTGGAAGGAGATATTTTGGTGGTATCTTCGAAACGACCTACAGGACGCTAAAATGATCGTAAAGAACTCTTTTTTTTAAATTTCTCGTTAAAAAGAGTACTTTTTGACGATGTACTTTGCATTGAGATAACACAATAAATAAACTCCAGGTACACATTGAAACGATCCATTTTTTCAAGAAATTCATAAAAATCCGATTTTCTTCGAGCGCGCCAAATTTTTCCTACTTTAAAAATCACCTCGATGGACACTTTTTTTGTTAGTACTTATCTCAAAGAAAAGAAAGAGACCGCGGGCGATGGTGTTGAATTTAAAAATCGACCTCGACCATTTATCCGAAAATTAGGTAAAATGGGCAAAAAACAGCCAAAATCCCGGCTTTATACGCATAACGTGGTTCCATATCTTAATTATGAGCTGAGGTAGTGGTTGTAAACATGTTTATCAGCCTATAAGTTGATGAATCGCGTAGTTTAGAATCTCAAAACATCATTTTTCCATTTTTGGCGCATGGTAGAGCGAAAAAAGGCGAATTTGAGCAAAAAACAGCGAAAAAAACGACGTTGAGGAGACAGAAAGAATCATTTGTACGCGCCTGCCTTGAACGAGCTTTCATTTTATACATGAAACTAACAGAAAATCACTATTACAAATCGATTCTAGAAAAAAGCCTAAAAACGGGCCACCCTAGTGACCATACCACCCGCCTTGTTCCATGAACGACCTCAATGATTTTAAACTTCTTGAGAGCAGCCGTCGCCCTGTGCTGGAGTAGACCACCCGCCTTGGCGACTGCACGGCAGTAACACAAGTTTGACGACAGGCCTCACATAAGAGCCGTGAGTGGTGCGAAACTCTATGACCTTGACCCTGCCATCTGGATCAGGATATGTCTTGACGACTCTTCCAAGAGGCCAATGTCCATTCTCTTTCATACTTGACAGATCGACGATGATTACTACGTCACCTTTCTCGAGATTTGGGTGGGGCCGATTCCACTTCGCTCGCTGTTGAAGAGTATGCAGAATTTCTCGGCTCCATCGCTCCCAGAAGTGATCTCGTAAGCGTCTGACGAGACCCCAGTGCCTCGCTGGCTCAAAGCTCAGGGGAGCTTTGCTTGGTGAGCTTTGCAGTTGAGTGAACGAGCATTCGCTAAGTGAGAAGGTGTCAGAGCTTCGAGGTCATCAACATCTCCGGTGGAAGGAGCGAGGGGTCCCGAGTTGAGGACCCTTTCGATGTCCACGAGGAGTGTGTTTAGCTCCTCGTACGTGAGATGTCTAGGTCCGATCACACGACGCAGGTGTAGCTTTATAGATCGGACAGCAGTCTCCGAAAGACCGCCGAAGTGTGGGGCTCTCGGAGGAATAAATGTCGATTTAATCCCCCTCTCAGCGAGGCTCCCCTTGATTCAACCCCAATCGATCTCAGCCGCTTGCAGCAGACGTTTCAGCTCAGTGTCAGCTCCCCGAAAAGTAGTCGTATTGTCACTCCAGATGTTCGTCGTCGGCCCCCGTCTCCCTGTAAACCGAGTGAGTGCGCTGAGAAAGCTTTCGGTGCTGCAGTTGGTTCTCTTAAGGGCTCAAAGGGGGCTTAAATAATTATATATTTCTATTTATTGTATTAAGCTGAAAAAGTGAAAAAAAATTTTTTCAGAAAACAGGCATAAGAGCCTTTTTCAATACCCCATTTGAAAGTACTTTGTCCAGTTAAATACTTACAAACACATAAATTAACTTGTATCAGCCTATGACCCTTCAGCGAAGAGCACTGAGAATATCTAAGCTGTTTGTAGTAATATTCTAAGTGATGGCTTGACACGACTAAGTTCTAGGTCATTTCATTTTCTTCGATGGATCATTATCCATCAACGCAACCTCAAGCTAAGCATAAGATCAACTTTTACTACTTCCACATACAATTTAATAAAATACAGTGGAGGCCGGTTATAACGAGATTCACGGGACCATCGAAAAGTTCTCGTTATATCCGGTCCTCGTTATAACCGACATGAGCAGTAATTACAATATTTTTTTTGGTATTTACCAGTTTCATTTATTCATCGAATAAGATGAGATTATTATATATATTGATTATTTTTTTACATTGTTACAAATAATAATAATATAATAATCAGGTTTTTTCAGTTACCTCTTCCCATGCTTCAGCCATAAATCGAATTGCTTGTAATAGGGAAACTTTGCTTTCAGTTATTCCTCTATCTAAATTTTCAATATACTTAAGTACTAATTTTCTCCTATAAAAACCCTTGAAGTTTTTTATAACCCCTTGATCCATTGGTTGTAGTACTGATGTAACATTCGGAGGAAAGTAAATTATTTTTATATTGGGAAAAGTTGGCATACTGTTATGTGCCGTACAGTTATCAATAACGAGTAAAATTTTTCTTGATTTTTTTTTCAATTCATTATCCCACTCCCTTAACAGTGAAGCAAAAATCTCAGCAGTCATCCATGACTTGCTCACATCCATGTACTGAATCAACATCTGGATTCTTACAAACACGTCTTTTTTTAACGGACCCGCGGCATTCTTCGAAAGATTTTGCTGGTAATGCATTTACTGATAATGTTTTCCTTTTTTTTTGGATTAAAATCTCCCATTTTCAAATTGTAAAAAAAAGTACCAGAAATACGTTTTCCTTGCGAAAGCAACGGTAAAACTGATCATTAACTTGCTTAGAGTAAGCTTTGTGTACATAATTCTGTGTTATTGAGTTTGCGTACGAGTATCTAGCTACGAGTGTAAACACGCAATTTCTCGTTATAAACGTCAATTTTTCCCAAAATTTTTCCTAAATTTTGCTCGTTATACCCGACTTCTCGTTATATCGATCTCGTTATATAGATACAATTTCCTATACCTAATGCATTGGAACCAACCAAATGTCCAAAATCTGCTCGTTATAGCCGGTATCTCGCTATATCCGACCTCGTTATAAACGGCCTCCACTGTATTCTATTAGGTCGGTGTTCCCTTCGATGGAGGAGATGG